AACTTCAAATTGTTTTAAATTTTGAGTCCAGAATTTTGCAACAAAAACTAATGCTAATTCAAGATACGTTTCAGTAATTATTATGTTTAATGTTTAAATGTTTAATGGAAAGTTTATTTTCTTATAATAGAAAAGAAATATAAAAGCTGCTTCAGACTTTTTGGTTTCCCTATTAAGTTATTGACCCTAAATCTTAAATGGTTATTGTGGATATTAAAACAAACTTATAATTTTCTAGTATATTAAAACTTGTAACCCACACAGTTGAATGACTTTGCAGTCAATAAAGCACAAGTAAACATCTTTTTCATATTCTTTTTAGCCAAGATCCGTCTGTTGTCAGTAATGATATCCCTCTTTCCATGTCTTCTGAATCTGGTTTGAATTTTCTGGGAGCTCCCAATCAATGTATTTCTGCAACCATGTTTTGAATTATCTTCAGCAAAATTTTACTTGTATTGATATTGTTATGGATTTTGCTTTGGGGCCCAGGAGTGAAGGTCAACAATAAATAACTCTTCTAGTGATAATCAAAGGAACTCTGGTAGCGTAGGGGTTACGAATCGGGCTGTGAACTGCAAGGTCAGCAGTTCGAAACTACCAGCTGCTCCACAGGAGAAAGATGAGGCTTTCTGCTCCTGTAAAGATTTATAGCCTTGGAAACCCTGTTAAGGGTCGATATGGGTTGAAACCAACTTGATGGCACTTAACAACAACAACAACAACAACATAGTGATAATGACTACATTGTTATCATAATTGGCTTCATTTTGAAGAATAGGTATTCCAGAACACTTAATTGTGTTAATTAGGAACCTGTAAGTAGATCAAGAGGCAGTCATTAGAACAGAAAAAGGAATACAGAAAAGGTCTGATTCAGGAAAGGTCTGCTTTAGGATTATATACTTTCACTATACTTAATTTATATGCTGAACAAATAATCCATGATACTGGATTATATGAAGGAGAACATGGTATAGGTACTGGAGGAAGAGTCATTAACAACCTATAATATGCAGATGACACAAACTTGCTTGCTTGAAGTGAATGGGACTTGAAATGCTGATAAAGATCAAAGGCTATATATAGCCTTCAATATGGTGGTGGTGGTTATGTGCCGTGGAGTCGGTTCTGACTCATAGCGACCCTGGGTTTCCCAGGCTATAAATCTTTACGAGTGCAGAAAGTCTCATCTTTCTTCCATGGAATGGCTGTTAGCTGGACTGCACTTCAATATAAAGAAATTGAAAATCCTCATAACTGGCCCAATAAATAACATTATGATAATCGGAAAAAAGATTGAAATTGTCAATAGACTTCATTATATTGGATCCACAATCAATACTCATCATGGCACCAGCAGTCAAGAAATCAAATGACATATTGTGTTACACAAATCTGCTGTACAAGTCCTCTTTAAAGTGTTCAAGAGCAAAGACAGTCTGAGGACTAAGGTATACCAGACGTAAGCAATGGTATTTTCAAGCATTTCACGTGCATATGAAAGCTGGACAATGAACGTGGAAGACCAAGAAAGAATTGATGTATTTGAATTATGGTGTGAGAAAGAAGAATGTTGAAAGTACCTTAGGTTGCCAGGGGAACAAAGAAATCTGGTTTGGAAGAAGTACAGTCAGAATGTTCCTTAGAAGCCAGGATGGTGAGACCTCGTCCGTCTTTCATACTATGGACATGTTGTCAGGAAGGATCAGTCACTCGAAAAGGATATTATGCTTGGTAAAGTGGAGTGTTGGAGTCCTGGTGTGGTGCTGTGGGCTAATGCATTAGACTGCAAAGTCATTTGAACTGCAAGGTCAGTGGTTCAAGCTTACCAGTTGTTCCTTGGAAACACTATACAGGGTTGCTATGGGTTGGAATGGACTCAACGGCATTTAACAACAACAACAAAGTGGAGGGTCATCAAAGAAGAGTCAGACCCCCAACAAGATGGATTGATGCAGTAGCAGCAACAATGGGCTCAACCGTAATCGTGAGGATGTCACAGGACTGGGCAGTGTTTTGTTCTGTTGTGCATGAGGTTACTATGAGTTGGAAATCAATGACATCTGAAAACAATAACTCACCAACTAGTGTAAGATGCTTTAATATTCTTCTGTAGATATTCTTAAAGTAAAATTTAAATGCGCAATCTTTAGCGGGCTTTGTTGTTTGTATTTTGCTAAATTGTTGAAAACCAAGCATTCGCTAATTGTTTTATTTTGAAATAATAAATTTAATAAAGACATCTGAGGAATATTGAAAAAGATGAAAATATCATTGAAGAATAAAAATTGAAGCAAACATATGTGTCTCTATGGAGAAAGCTATTTTTGAAAACATGTTTATGACAAGATTATTGGAATTATTGGCAGTTTAACAGATTATTGGAATTTTTATGCATTAGAAAAAACTAATGATGTTGATGATGCACCCAGTGGTCGCTATTAATAAGAACTGAAGAGGCTTTTGTTGCATGGAGAGGATTGTATTCATTGAGATGAAACAAAATGTATGATTTGCTGAAAGTAAAACTTATGATCTTCTCTGTAAACTTTCACTCAATTCACGGTAAAAAAAAAAAAAAAGATTAATGGTAGAGGAGGAGTTTACACTGAAGGGAGTTTAGTGGATTCGACAGGTGTAACTGCTAGAGCTAATGATGATGCAGTAATAGTTGTTGATAAGTACCACTGAGTCGCTTCTGACCCATAATGACCCTGTATAGGGTTTCCGAGAAGCGATTCATGAGCTTGAATCTTGGACTTTGCTGTTCAAACCCACTTTGCAGTCCAGCGCATTAGCCCACAGCGTCACACCAGGATTCCAGCAGCAGTAATAGGAACTGTTATCTATGAACATTTTCTATTACTTCTCTCCGTACTAGTAGCTATTCTATGAAATAGGCAATGTTATAATGGCTATCGGAGTCCTGGTGTGGCGCTGTGGGCTAATGCTCTGGACTGCAAAGTGGGTTTGACTTGAGTGGCTGGTGAATATGAAGAGCTGACCTTGCAGTTCAAACTGATCTTGCAGTCCAGTGCTTACCCCACAGTGCCACACCAGGACTAGGTTAAATGATAGAAATGCAGGTCAGGTTGGAGCGCAGGATGAGTGGAGGTGGGAAAAGCACTGTTAACGTTAAATGGATAATTAGGTACTGATTCAGGGTGAGTAGTGATACAGTGCAAAAGCTCCAAATTGGCAGGTTAATGTCAACTCAAACCACATCTCCAATAACTTACTACAGCTCCTGGGATGTGTAACCGAACTTCTGTATTCTCATACTTTAGTTATGTGTATTGTATGCTAGTGGGGCACCTACAGCCCCTTCCTCCCTCTAGGCATACTATCTATTCTCTGGGAAGGGGCAAGCAGCCCAGCTTCTTGTGGCTTTCCTACCTTTTCTCTATATACTTGGTAGCGCAGTCCAACTATTAAACTCAAGGTCAGCAGTTTGAAATTACCAGCTGGTCTACGGAAGAAAGATAAGCTTTCTGCTCCCGTAAAGATTTACAGCCTTGGAAACCCTATAAAAGGTCGCTGAGTCGGAATTGACTCCACTCATGGTGTGGCACTGTGGGGTTAATGTGCTGGACTGCAAAGTCAGTTTGAACTGCAATGTTGGTGGTTCAAGCTTGCCAACTGCTCCTTGGAAACCCTATACAGGGTCGCTATGGGTCGGAACCGACTTCACAGCACTTAACAACAAAACAAAAACAATCACCATACCACCCTTAACAGCCCTGACATATGTGAAACTTGAACACCCCATAATAAAAAAGACCTTAGCTTACACCACTAGCAAAAATCTTGACTGCTGTCCTCATCTTGGTTAGTAGGTTTCCCAGTTCACAAAACATCTATTGTATTTATATTCTGTAATAAACAAATGTCTCTGGAATTGGCACCTGGTCATCGTTTGGTTGTTTTTTTGTTTTGTTTTTCTGGTTTATCTCTGCAACCACTAGGCAGAAAGCTTTTCCCTTCTGTGCCTAAACCTCAACAGGGTGGAAGATAAAAGGTTATTTGTTGTCAAAGTTGTAGTCTAAGAGGTAGTTGGGTGAAGGAGCTGGTTCCAACTCATAGAAGCCCTGTATTAGATTTCCAAGAGCAGCTGGTGGGTTTGAACTGCTGACCTTTCAGTTACTAGCCCAATGCCTATCCTACAGCATCACCACCAGAACACAGTTAAAGCAAAAGTATATGAAAAAGACTGGTTTGTGAACAATGTACATTAGCTACTTCCAACCTTTGATCATAGAAACTCATATCCTCCATCTTTTCATTTGCTTTGCAATAGGAAGCAGATACATTTCTTGAAGGTCTCTTGAACACAGTAGCAGAGGACCCTAGCCTTATACTAGCATACGCAAGAAAGGAATAAGAATTATTGAAAGGAAGAACAATTTAGTTTGTGTGATTGGCTACCCGGATGTAGGCTAAGAAAATACGGATACAGGCAAGTGCCAACTGTTAAAGTAAACTCAATAAAGAAATTACCCAGAGGAATTTAGCATTTCCACCTCTCAGGTGGAGGAATGATTGAGATCCGGCCTAACCACGTCTAAACCATTCTGAGACATGGAAGCTCCCTCAGTTTTTGCAATCGAAACATTGATTTTCTTTGGCCCCAACTGATAGACGAGTTTTGTGGGTGGAACGGAAAGAGGAGGAATTGGATTCGTGGGTGGGTGAGAACTAAGCACTTTGCATGGATTGTAGGGCCACTAGGCTGAGTCCACAAGCTTCACGACTAAAAAAATACTGCCCAGCCAACCACCATCACGAAACCTACTAAGGATCAAGCCTCTGCCACAACTGGCCTACGGCTCGCTCCGCCTCCAGAGCTCATTGGTTCTTAGCTTCCGCGCCGGATCCACAGTCTCGCTCCTATTGGGTCAGACAAGTCCTGGGCAGGGTGCGGAAGCGAGGGCTTGGAGACAACCGAGAATAGCTTTCAAGGAGGTGAAAGGGGCGGGGCCGAGGGAGGGCTTCCCAAGGAGGAGGTGGCTATGGCTGCAGCGCGGCGGCAACGGCGGCTGCGAAGGAGCGCGCGCCCGGCTTTGAATGAGCGGTGCTGGGACTGAAGGAGCAGAGCGCGAGCTCGAGGAAGCGACCGGCAGCGCGTGCACGCGCCTTAAGTGCGCGCGCGGCCCGTGGCAGCTCGGAACCTCCGCCGGGCGGGCGGGGAGGGGGAGGGGCAGGTGAGTGTGTGCGGCCCGCGGCGCCGGCTAGCGACTTCCCGACCCTTACCCCTTACCTCGACCCCCTCTCTTGCCTGGGGGTTATCATCTGCCCTTTAGCCGGTGATTCCTTCTCCTAACTCCACACTTCCCGCTTTCCCACCTCCCTTTTCGCCCCTCTACCGGGCCCTACCCACGCCTTCTGCCACTCTGGGGTACTGTTTCCGGGTTAGGGTGACCTCCGGGGTGAGGGTGTAGCGACAGGGAAACGGGACCCAGCGTACTGCCCTCGTCAGTGGCGCTCACGTGTGGTACTGCAGGCCTGCGGGGCATCGGCCTGGACCACCCTGACCCCAAATCTGCCCCTCACAGGGAAACGTGCTGGTCATTCATGCCCTCCACGGACAGGGCCCACACTTGCTAAAGAGAATTTTCCGAATTCCAAATCTCACCCATCTAACACCCACCTCCAGCTACTAGGGCATTCGCCTAACGCTGTGCGCAAGGCGTCGGACTGTGCAGTTTGTCTCATCTGTACAGTGGGTATGATCCCCACCCCCATCGGTTGTAGATGGGTTGTGTGCAGTTAAAGCATCTCCTTATGAAATTGATTATACTTTTGAGTCATTCTGGAAAGCTTACTTTGTCCCAGTGTTGTCACTTTTTGGAGGGTCTGAGTTGTCGGAGGCAGTACAGACCCTATGCGTTTACTACCGGTTCTCACTCCACTTCTGCTTCCGCTTGTTTCTTGGTGCTGCTGAGGTTTTCAAATTTAAGCGAGTTCAGGTTTTTTAAAAAAAATTGTAACATTTCTTAAGCTAATTTAGAAAGTTATTTTGATAATGCATTGGAGTAATTTTTGTTAAATTTTTGGTATTTAAAATTTAGAGAGCTGCCAGAAAAATATTCATTGCTTACATGGATATTGGGTTGGCTTGGTTAATGGATTGTGATATAGTAGACGTACTGAAAGGATCTTGCCAGCAGTTTATAGTAATTACAAAGAGGAAAGATACATTTGATCTGTTTTTCATGCAGAATTCCCTTTTTCTTTCTTTTTTTAAAAAAATGCATCTTACTCACTTGACGTAGCATATTAATTTCCTAGAGATGTCGTTTCTCCAGAACAAAAGTCCTTAGGACAAGTTTGCTTTAGATTTTGAACCTTCTTTCTTCTGTTACTACTATGGCTCAAGTTTTTGTATTTTCCTAGAAATTTTCAAGGACACTTTAATTTTTAAAAGATTAGACTATTTTAGCATTGCTCAGTTCTGGAAAATACTTTGAAGTAACCAAACCGCAAAACACCTTAAGATACATAGTTACCAAACTATTGATGTTGTTGTTACCTACCGTGGAGTCGGTTCCGACTCAGAACGACCCTGTACAGGGTTTCCGAGGCTGTAAATCTGTACAGGAGCAGAAAGCCTCATCTTTCTCCCGCAGAACAGCTGGTAGTTTCCAATTGCAGACTGTGAGATTAGCAGCCTGATTCGTAACCAGTACGCTACCAGAGCTCCTTGTTGTTGTTATGTGCCGTGGAGTTGGTTCTGACTCATAGCGACCCTGTACAGGGTTTCCGGGGCTGTAAATCTTTACGGGAGCAGAAAGCCTCATCATTCTCCCATGGAACAGCTGGTAGTTTCGAACTGCTGACACTGAGGTTAGCAGCCAGATTCGTAACCACTACGCTACTAGAGCTCCTTAGAAGGCACTTAAAAATCACACTGAAGCAGTGTATATAGAATGAAAAGCTTTCTCGAATAAGATAGGCACGCAGCCTTTTTAAATCCTGCCTGAGTGAATCACTGTGTCTGTCAGCTTTGTCTGGTAAATGGGAGTATAGTGAAACATACCTCTTGTGGATATCTGTAGGATTCCAGTGGGGTTGTAGAACATACATTGTTTAGAACTGTGTCTTACATTCTTGGAGTGCTCAAGGAATGTTAATTTCTCTTAGACAAATGTTTAGAGTTTCTACTATATGCCTGTCATTGACTAAGATGTAGAAATACTAAACTGGGGAAGATGGATGGAGCCCTGCCTTAGTCCCTTGCATTCAGTAGGAGTTAGTGTTTGTACAAGCTGAGAACACAGGGCTTGTCTGTTCTGGGTCAGTAGTGGTTTCCCAGCAGCTTGGATAGTATCTGCTACATTGTTAGTTGCCATCAGGTTAGCTTACCCAACAGTGATTTATGTTTAATAGAAGGAAACATTGCTGGGTCCTGGGCCATCTTCAAGCTCTTTGGTGTGTTTGAGTTCATTGTGGCTGTTGAGTCAAACCTTCTCACTGAGGGTTTTCCTTTCTTTTCTGGCTTACTGGTTTTCATATCCTTTTCTAGCCATTGACTTGGTGTGGCACTATGGGCTAATTTGATGGACTGCAAGGTCGGTTTGAACCACAAGGTCGGCAGTTCAAGCTCACCACCAGCTGCTCCTCGGAAACCCTATACAGGGTCACTATGAGTCTAGAACCGACTCGAAGGCACTTAACAACAACAAGCCATTGATCTTACCTGATTGCTTATCCAGAGTAAGTAAAGCTGAAGTGTCCCCATCCTTCCTTCTAAGGAGCATTCTGGTTATATGCTCTGCTGGCAGTTCACTGTATAATCAATGTCTTTGCCAACATCACAATTCAAATGCATCATTTCTTCTTCTGCCTTCCTTTTTCATTGTCTAGTGATTTATATGAGGTCATTGAAGATACCATGGCTTGAGCAAGGCACACATTAGTAATAATCTAAGGGACATCTTTGCATTTTAAAATTTTTATAGAAATCTTTTGTAGCAGATTGCACAATGTAGTCTGTGGTTTGATTTCTTGACTGCTGCTACTATGGATGTTAAATGTTAATCCAAGTAGGATGAAATCATTGACAACTTCAGCATTTTCTCTACTTAACATGATGTTTTAATGGTCTAGTTGTGAGGGTTTTTGTTTTCTTCATGTTCAGTCATAATTCATACTGAAGGCTGAAGTTTTTTGGCCTTCATCACTAAGTGCTTCAAGTGGTTGGCAAACAAGGTTTTATCACTTGCATATCTCAAGTTGTTAATGCGGCTAAATATATTTTCATTGAATTGAATTAGTAAGTAAATATAGATGCATAAAGTATTCCTCCAAAGCAGTGTATTGATAAGTCAAAAGTATTACTTGATAGTAAGCTGATTGCATTTTCCATATTTAATCTAACTCACTTTGAAAATTGTATCACCATTGAATTACTAAGAATGGAACTGTTAATAAAGTATTCATTTATTTATGTTTTTAACATTTTATTTGGTTTTGTGAAAGTTTAAAGAGCAACCTAATTTCCATTCAACAGTTTAGACACATTTTGTTTAATAATTTTAGATGCAACGCCCTCAATAGAGCAGTACTCTTCCCACTTCATGGGTTCCCTGTTTCCATTTGTGTGTCTTTCATGTTCCTTTCTGTCTTCTGAACTTTGTTTTTGAGCAGATGCTATATCCTTTGGTTGGATGCTATGGTCTCATTGGTTAAGAGTGTGTTCCTCACGGTTATAGTTCACTTGATAGGCCTCCCTATTATTTGGCTGAAAGGTGATTTCCTGAGATTGGAAGGAAGTCTAAGAGCCATCATCTCGGGGATTCTGCTTGTCTCTCTGTCAGACCAGTAAGTCTCGTCTTTTTGAAATTTTTGAATTTTGTTCTAGAATTCCCCCCCACTATTTTCAGGACCTTTTACTGTGGTCTCTCTCAGAGTTGTCCTGTCATTAGTGGTAGCAGGGCACCATCTAGTTCGGTATTCTTTTCTTTTGAATGAAATAGACTTAGGTTTGGTGGTAGCAGCAGTGTGCTCAAGCATAACAACTATTGTGACAATGGTGCAGGACTGGGCAGTGTTTCATTTTGTTGTTACAAGATCGCCATGAGTCAGAACCAACTCGATGGCACCTAACAATAACAACGCTTGAATCCGAGTCCTTGGGTGTAATAAGAAACATGGGGAAGTGTGTGTACTCTCTAGGCTTTAGTTTTTGTTTTGTTCTTTGTCTTCTGGAAAAGGGAGATGATATTGTCTGTCTCTCCAAGTAGTTTTGTGGATCTATGAACTAGTAGATAGTACAGAGCACATAGTAACCTGCCTGTGAATATTAGTTTCCCTCTTTTTCATAACTCACAAAGGTAAATTTCCCCCAGGATATTCTTACGTGGGAGGAAATTCTATTGTTGTTGTTAAGTGTTGTTGAGTAAATTCTGACTCTTAGAACCATTTGTAGGGTTTCTGGTGAGTAGCTCATGGGTGTGAACTGCTGGGTCTTGTGGTTAGCAGTCCAGTGCGTACCCAACAGTGCCATAGCATGACTCCGAAAAATTATATTATGCAATCAATAAGAGTACCACTTTCTAACAATTTTTTTTTGTTAGGAAAAAAGTAAAACTTTATCTTTAGTCATCATTAAAATTATTCAGGTTAACAAGTATTTATTGAGCAACCACACCAACATTAATAGTGGGAAGGTGATAACTATGGTTACTCAGACATGAAATGGAATTTATTCTCAACTCTTCATGAAGTATTCCTGAGGCTACTCACCCCAACCCAGATATTACATAGTCTTCCCCCTTTAAAACATATTCCTAGGTGTTTCCTCAGTTCTGCCCCTCTCTCCAATGCTGAATGTACACTACAGTCTCCTTTATAGATGCCTTGTTTTCTTTGTTTTATAGCAAAATTTATTCTAAATTTGTGGAAAGTTGCTTTTCTTTTGGTCAAGAGTTTTACTCTTGATAATCAGTTTTTAGGTGAAACTTTTATTCATCATATTGATTGCTCAGATCTTTCTCCTTACAGTGAAGCAGTGGAGCCTCTTATTCAGTCTGTTTTACAAATGATAACTAGAAGTGCCAGGTGAATAAGATCTTTGAAGCAGGATTGGGCAGGTTAGATAAGCTGTGTAGAAGTAACTAGTACAAAATGGAGGCCTTGGATGGCACTCTACTACTGGCTGAAAGGCTGGCAGTTTGAACCCACCCAGAGGCGTCTTGGAAGA